GAATAACATGTGTGAGACTTTCAACAATTGGATCATGTCTGCTAGGCACAAGTCTATCATAACCATGTTAGAAGAGATTAGAGTGAAGGTGATAGAGAGGATAACTACCATGAGAGAATTTTCAACAAGGTGAATTTCTGATATATCTCCTATGGCAATGCGGTACATAGAGGAACAATCTCAATATGCATTTAGGTATGAATTTAAATGGAATGGGGACACTGGGTATGAAATAAAATATGGGGTATACAAACATATTGTTGACTTTGTCAATAATACATGCACATGCAGATCATGGCAGCTCAAATGGAATACCATTCTCCCATGCAACATATGCAATATTTTTTAGGAGATTTGAGCTTGCTGACTATATTGTTCACTGGTACAGGAAAGAAACATACCTGAAGTCTTTCAGTTGTTACATACAGCCCGTAACCAACACGGCGATATGGACAGCAACTCAGAATCCCACTGTTGAGCCTCATGTAATTACTAAGATGCTTGGTAGACCTAAGAAAAATAGAAGAAAAGCTCAAGATGAACCTAAAAAGAAGTTTGGTAAGAGATCAAGGAAAGGGACACCAATGACATACTCTCATTATAAGACAGTAGGCCATAACAAGAAGGGGTGTCCTATCCTGGTAAATGATTAGATAATGCATTCATTTATTTTCTGTTCGTGACTTGTATAACTCTTTTTTTTTTTTTGAAAATTTCAAAAAGGACAAGGATCTAGAATTATTGGTACCAGAAATGCTAATGCTACTCAAAGAACAACTCAACCATCAACTGTTGCAAGTGGTTATGGAACTGCTGGTACCAGAAATACTCAGTCTACTCAGGCTGCTAAAGAACAACTCAACCATCAGCTGTTGCAAGTGGATATAAAATTACTGATACCAGAAATACTCAACCATCTCAGGCTGCAAGTGGATCTGGAACTGCTGCTACCAGAAATACTCAACCATCAACTGTTGCAAGTCAATCTACTGAATGTTTGTTTTTATAGCTTAAGTTTGTTAGTTGCAGAACTTAATTTATAGATTAACTATGAATGTTTAAGTATGGCTTTTATTTTGGCATAATGTTTAATCTATTTCTGCTACTAGACAACTTTCAGTAGTTAATTTTGTCAACCAAGAAGGCTGCTTGGTTGTTTATATATGACTGCTTGTTTATGTCAAACATTGCTTTTCATTCCACAAAAATTCATCATACATTTTGTTATTTTCATTGTACATAGGGTTATGAAGAAAATTATAATGATTAGTATTAACTAAATTAAGAAAAAAATTACAATGATTAGTGCTAATACAACAACTGAAGATCTTCATCCTCTTCCTACGATGTAGTCGATGTCTCTCTAATTCTTGATAACAACCCTAAAATCACTTGTTTCTGGAAGAGGTGGGTCAAATCACCTAAAATAATTACAAGAATTGTTTCGACCATAATTTCAGTACCCATAAAACCTTCTTCCTGGATTTGTTGGCTTTCAAGTGATGCAAAACTTAGCTTCAACTTCACAATGATAAAATATAGGACTTTGCATCATTTTCACGGTCTGAAAAAAGAAAAAAATCAAATAGAGCTTCAGATTTTAGAAAAATGGAGGAATGGAGCTTAGATTCTATATAATGGAGGAATAATATATTTTACAAGGAATGAATAAGAACCCACTTAAATACAACCCATTTTGGATCGTTGGGCGTTGGGAAGAGGGCTTTCACGCTCCTGTGCGTCGTGTTCCTCACGCAGCAGGATGATTAGAACCAACTTACGCCACATGGGCATGGTCAATGAGCAAATGTGTTTATTTGTTAAGGAAAAAATGAGTTCGAGTGTTCAAATAGAAAAGTTTAAAGTTTATGTATCGGCTTTCAAATGCCCTACAAGTTTAAGTGGCGAGGAAGCCACTCCGCCTTTAGAAAATTTAACATACTTGAGAGAATATGTAGGCTACAAATACTTTGAAATTCTTAAAAGATAAACATGTCCATTTCTTTTAATTTATTTCTTTAAACGTCTATTATTCTATGTACGAAATTTATTGGCCCGACTAAAACGTAATCACGTCGTAGAAAATTATGGGGAGTTTAGTACTGAACGTTAAAGGAGGACTCCATTTGTTAAAGCTCGAACTAAAACCTATGGCTAAGGAATAAAGAATATTTACAATAGCCAGTGACTCGTACACAATTTTTATTTGATCTATCACAGAGATTTCTGATTAACAATAAAGGAATTTAATTCATCTCACCACACCTTGTAGTGGTTGTTTAATGTGCTATGATTCTTCATATTTTTAATTATTTTTAATATATTTCAAATTTTGCTTTCATCTTTAGACGAAAAAGACATCATTTAACTCATTTTTCTTCATTTAAGGGGCCGTTTGGCCATACAAAATTTTTTCACTTTTTTCAAAAAAAATTACTTTTTTTGGAAATCTGCGTTTGGCCATGAAATTTTTAATTTTCGCTCGAAGATGAATTTTGGAATTATTCAAAAATTTAAAAAACTCCAAAACGCTGTTTTTTAAAATTTTCATGTCCAAACACTCACAAAAATTCAAAAATAACCTAAAATTATATTCATGTCCAAACACAACTCTAACTTTCAAATATCATTTTCATTTTAAAAAGAAAATCACTTTTTTCGCCCACTTAGTTTCCATTCTAAAAGTGTAGAACAGACAATTTAATGTGGATTGCTCAAAAAAAACTTCACAAATAGTGGAGTCTAATGATTAGAAAGTACTTAGATGACACTATGGACAATACCTTCTTGTTCTTTTGCACCTTTCTTCTTTACTTTGATTTATTGCTGCTTTTTTCCATCAATTGCGGACATGCAGTTGCAAACGTGTCACATTATTTTTTTTTTTGAATTTAAGTTATATAACACGACAATATAAATATTTTATACATTATGAGTGAACTTTAGCTTGTAATAGCAGTGCGATAGATAACATCTTTGTTACCTTAGCATCTTTATATCATCAATGCAGAGAACTTAAACTCTATTTTTCTTGGTGTGAATATTCAGTTCTACATTTTTTTTGGTTTTCCTCGATATCCGGTATTCATATTGGGACTCGATTAAATTTGGACTCATACCGAAAAGTCTCAAAATGAGGGTAAAACGTTCCTAACAAAAATGATGCAATACCGAATATTCGAACCTGAGACCTCTAGTTAATAATGAATAAGTACTTACCCGTTACCACTTCATAGGTGGCTTTAGTTGGGAAATTTTGTTCTAGTTTAAATTTTGAATTTGGACGTTTCTGATCTTTTGTGAACTTATGGGACAAATATGAACTCTCCGAGGGACAAATGTACACTTGGCTCTTTTCTTTACTAGAACAGATTTTATGGATCTTTCTTTTTTCATCCTTTTATTATAATCATTATAATAATCATCAAAGGAAGTAAAGAAAAAAAAAGTTTAGGTTGACATAAATTGTTGACACGTTTTGACAGTATTAGCCTGCAATTTTCCACTTTCCTTCTTGTCACCGAATGAATGTTGATCTATATATAAATTCATTACGTGATTCCTCCGTAATATCACCAATTTACCTTTTTATCTATTGGTATTGGCTCGATTAATTCGAACTCGTGTCACATCAGGCTCATTAAAGAAAAAACATTCTTATCAGGATTTTTTTTCATACTTAAATTCGGACACAAAATATTTGAATATATTATCAGGTTCTTTCTAAATGTGATGAGGATTTAACCTTTTTGATATCAAAATTCTCGACTTTTAGGTATAAACGTTATTAGAAATGTCATTTTTCACTTATAAAGTTTTAGAAATTCGACCGGATTAGATATGTAAGTAGGAATTTGCATTTTACATTGATGGATTATAGCTTGAAGAAGATATCTTTTGTCAAAACCCCAAATTCGTAACGAATTTGTCCTTTATACTTTGCTAGAAATGATCGAACACTTAAAATAGGTGGAAAACCAGTTCGGAATATTGGCCGAGCGTAGACTAGTTTGTTCAGACAATTACAGGCTTGCTAATACTAAAAATGTAACTCAGCTTCTCACTGACTACATCAGATCTGGAAAGAGTAGCTGATCTAATCAATCTGCTCTTACGATTGATAACGGCGTTTAAAGCTATGTCAAAATATGCTTATATTAATTTTTGTCTTAATTTCTGCTATGGTCCTACATAAATTTCTCTTAAGATTCTCACCTGTCCCCAACATTGTTCTTAACAATATATTGTTCCAGGAAACTCCTCGTACCTCAAGAGGCGGAGTCAGGATTTTAAGCTTATGGGTACGGGATTCTGATCGTATTAAAGTACTACGTTCTAAATTAATAATTTATATATATATTCAATAAATTATTTAAGACAAATACAAAGTTCGAACCAAAACTACTAAGTTCAGCCGAACCCACTCCCGACACTCTAGCTCCGCCCATGCTGATACCATCTTTAAAGCCCATGTTGTGGGGTGACAAATATGGACAGAATTTTCTTTTCTTTTCTTTTCTTTTCTTTTCAACAGCAATGAGTAGTTGTTAAGCTTTGATTTCAAATGGATGGCAAATCTCCTTATCTAATCCACATGTTTTCAATCTCAAGTCATCAACTTTGTGTGTAAACTTAGCCAAGCCAATTAATGAAAAACTATCAAAAAGTTTTTAGGTTGCAGCCGTTTTAACTCGTTTTTAACTTTCTTAGGAGCTCTCGTTTGAACAGATGACCAATTTTAATTTTTTTTTCGGTTGTCTTCTTTAAAGAGAGCAGACATATAAATAATTTTAATACAATCAGATCATTTGTGTACTAAAAAGTTACAACAAATGGACCCTCCTGTTCATTTTTTTTCCTTCTTTTTTCATTCACTCTTGCAACTACTGTAGTCGTTGTTAAACAGAAACAAAGTTCTGACTGGGAGCAAGACTAAAATAAAGAAAAAAAGTTTTATTTTTAAATTAACACATCCATAAAATTGCAGTACATCTTGCACGTAAAAGTTAAAATACTCCGTCCATGACCAAGAGTTTAAACAAATACAATAACAACAACAACAATTACGCCTCAATTCCAAACAAAATATAGTCTACTATATGAATTTTCGCAGACAAACGCCTTGGTAAAATGAGAATGCAATAGCTTCCCCAACGCTTATTGTTTCTTGCCAGAATGAGGCAAAAAGATAACCAATTACATCGCCCATCCGATAGTGTTCTTCCAAGATGATTTATGCAGTCGAAGCTCAGACAAGACACTCTAAGATGATGTAGAACTAGAAAATAAGTTGTGAATATTATACAAAAAAATGAAATCAAATTTGTCTTGCATCAACGATAAGCACATAAATAGTGATACAATATGACTTCAGCATGCCACAAGTATTTCGCTTCACTCAAATCGACAAACCTGAGTTTCCAAGAGCATCTTATTCTCCTTCACTCAAAACTGGAACGATGAGTGGTTTCAACTGTGCAAGGTACACGATTGCCCACCTATCCACAAAAAAACACAGAAACAGTGGATTTTCTTCTCAGTATCAACTGATAGATCCAATTTAACAACGAAAATGGCTAGAAAATTACTTGCAACATCTACTACTACTATTATTACACCCCAATCCAGGAGTATTGGTGTAAGTTTTATTATTCCAACATCACACTAATTGAAGTGACAACCCAGTATCATTGATGGGAAATCAAAATAGGAACTATAAATAAGTTCCTTGTCAAGTGATAATTAGGTGCAAGNCAACGAAAATGGCAAATAGAAATTTACTTGTACATTAACTTGCAACAACTACTACTAACTATTATTACACCTCAATCCGGGAATATTGGGGTCAGTTTTATTATTCCAAGATCACGCTAATTTAAGTGACAACCCAGTATTATTGATGGCAAATCAAAATAGGAACTATAAATAAGTTCCTTGTCAAATGAAAATTTAGGTGCACGCCTGCAAAGCTAAGGAAGCTTATCAAAGAAAAAAGCAAAAATAGCACTCTCTGCAGCCTGTTGGGCAGCAGAACTAGCAAACATATCCTCAAAGTGATGACTCACTCTTATAATTCAATCACACCAACAGAATGGTTTTTGGGCTAATGCAGGAAAATGGTCCAAAAAAGCATAAATCTTTTTTAATAATATAGGACTGAGAATACAGAGTAATATCCAACCATTGACAATCGATGGAGCACACAATTACTTGTTTCCATGCATTAAGAGGATAACATGGCAAACAGTCATTGCATTCGCCAAATGAAGGAGAATGACTATTTCTTTTAAGGAATAAGCTTAGTAAAAGTTAGGGGTTCATTTGGAGAGACCATAAGGAATATCACAGCGAATACTAAATAGAGCATTTACAAGGAGGATTCTGTAGATTTAACCAAAATACTATTAGAGTATTAGTGAAAGCATAACTTCTCCAACTTCCAACACAGAGTAAATCAATAATGAATGCTAGTCGCTCCAAGATACGCCACTGCATCAGCTTCCCAACCAGATCATTATCACCCACTATCCCCTCACACAAAACAGGAGGAGAGGAGGGAGGGGCAGAGAGAGAGAGAGAGAGAGAGAGAGAGAGAGAGAGAGAGAGAGAGAGAGAGAGAGTAGTCTTGAGACGAGCATCAAAATACCATAAAGAAATATTGAACTTGATTCGTGTTCATAGAGAGGCAAAGCAGAATGAAGAAAAAGTAGTGGACAGCTCCATGATTCTTGAGAAGAAAATTACAACAATAATGAACCCACTAGAGACAACATTGAAAATCATTACCAACACATTCATCTATCAACTAAGAGAGGGAAATAAGGACGTTGCAGGGAGGAGGGAGATCTTCAACCACATAATCACGGAAGTTCACATATAAAGAAATTCCATCACATTTCTTACTTTCCAGAATGAGGAACTTCAAAAGTATGGAATAGATATAGCAATCTACATCTCATCGATTTCAAGAAGAAGCGATTCTATGTTTCATCTATGAGAAACAATTAAATAATTTAGGACGAAATAGTTACGGGATTTACGAAGCTAGGCTAGAATTCACAAGACCATGACTGTTTGATAATACAAATGCAGATTTTAGTCAAATCAACTAGATAATTCAAACTTAAGCTTTTATTACGAACACCCTGATCAGGAAAAACTTAAGCCTCTGAAAATTTTCAAAGAAAGGAATATCTGCAATATCTTTAGATTTTAGTGGATTCATATATTTAGCACCCAATTGCATATATATATATTTTTTGATAAGGAAAATTGGAGTACAATACTTGGCTTCGCCCGGAATATATATATATATACACACACACTAGTCTCTATGTCACGTGAGAACACGTGTAATCCCTACACCTATTATTAAATTTATATATAAAAAATAATAAACTTTTAACACAATATATCATTCAAAAACATTTATTCAACTTATAAGTTAAAACCAAAGCATATAGGTAGTGCGAGTTCCCGATCTTGTTAGTTTTACTTGTTTTAATTAAATAATATTTTTAAAATTATACTAATATTTATAAGTATAAATTAAAGCACAAAAATAGTGAGAGTTCCATTATTGTTAGTTTTATTTGTTTTGATTAGATATATTTGAATTTATATTAAAATTTGTAAGAAGATATCAACTTGATAACAATATTAGTTAGGAATGTCGCATCTAATAAACATCGTGATAATTTATGTTACATTCCAAAATCTCTTTTTTCTTTAAACAAAATCAATATAATATAAGAAAAATAATGGTGGTGCTAAGCATGTGCTAAATATCAAAGAGTTCTATGCGAGGTCAAATAAATGTGAAGTGTTTAGGGTAGAGTTTTACTTTCTTGTATTCTTTAAACATGTGCTAGCGCATAAAAGAAGCACATTACTCAAAACTGAACCAAGAAATTCCCACTTTGTTCTAGCCTCGGAGAGCGAGGAATGGCAGTAAGGCCACACAACATAATTTAAATAAAATCTCCAATAAGGGGTGGATGTAGCATTACGACATGAATTTACACTAAGAAATGTATTAATATTGCACACATAATTAAAGATATATTACGTTTCATATTAAGAACGTTAAAGGTTGGACCCATAAAGTTTAATAGACCTGCTCTATCTCTAATAGCCGATCAATTTTAAGTCCATAACTTTTGTGTACTACTCATTGAAAGTTATAAATATTTGATGTGTTATGGAGATAAATATTCAGATTCACCAATAGTGTTATGTTCATAAAGCTTTCAAAAATTTTACGGGAAATAAAATAATATGGATTCCCGTATATCTATATGTTATTATCCTACTTGAATCTTGGAGTGCGTATAAATGTGCTAATAAAAATTATACCAAGTAACTATGTACACCTAAAAGTAATGTAAACCAAAACATGAGAGCACTCAGAGTGCAGAAAATTATAATTATAAATATTGGAAAACATTCTACCTTATACACACTGCAAATTTCCATATGATGGTGGAAGAAGTCGAAGCAACACATAAATATCACACAATTTAATTTATATCAATGATATAAGCACCGTCCACATCAGTTGTCCAAGGACATAATCCAAATCGATATCAACAAAAAAAAAAGACACAAAATATTCTATAATATAGCCTGCAAGCATTTTATTATTCAACAAGAGAAGGTACTTCATCAAATTTAGAGAAATCGTGACTAAATTGAAAAGCATGACTAAATTGAATTCAAGTTTAAACTGCATTAAATTCATTTAAATTTGATCGATTTATTTCTTTAAATTCGGAAGTAGAATTTATTTAGAAATCTATTTTTATTATGTTTACCAAAATATCGTATAGATTTATGTTAAGAATAGTGTAAGTAACATTTAGCCTTCGTGCTCTTTTATAATCGGGTTTTCGTATCCTTTTGTAGAGAGAATTTTGATAATCTTAGATTTCGCTACCATATTATCGGCGTTCACGCTTCAAATCTCCAACCTAAAAATAAAAACGTCCTTGCACGTAAAACCAATAGACACTGACATATTATATGGAACAAACTTAAAGTTTTTGGCACTCTTCTTGAAGAAATTTACTATGTAATAAACAACAAACAACATTCTTGGCATTGGCAAAAATTCAAAGTAATACTAAAATTTTAAATTTCAATATTCATAATAATATTTTGCATAAGAATATAATTAAGCTAATTAAAGAATCAATTTAATTTTAGAGGAACAATTAAGCCAAAAATAAAAATTCCAGGAGCATCATAATGTGTGTCATGTTTTAATCTTTAGAAGAAAAAGATTCTCTTATATTTCCCTCATGTAAAATATTGTATCATAATGTTAATTATGTTTTATTCTTGTGAATTTTTGAAAGAATCCTAATATGTTTGGTAAAGGGTGCAGAGGTCGGTATACATGTAGTATCTCAAATAGCTGAGAAACCAGAATTTGATTAATATTAGAAGTCCATGAAAAATGTAGTATTAAGCATATTTTAAAATATCAGTTTTACCCTACATGGTATTATTTGTCAATTAATATCCTAATGATATTTTGATAAACCAACATTATATTCATGTTTTATAATAATATAAATATATATATTTCATACCCAAAAACCAACATCCAAGCACATCCTAGGAAGTCAATCATCATCTAAATCCTCTCACAAAGTTTATGGGACAACAATCATGTAACTTTGAAGTTCTGATTATTGATTACTTGGCTCTATCACGGAGCCAGCCAATTCTTAAAATGGATTAGCTTCATTCAATATTCCACAGTGGACAAACTGACAAGTGACATCCCATTTCATATTTTACGCGGAAGTGCAGACTCAACAGCACAAGCAATACATTCAACAAGTCGAGCAAAATATGGATTCCTCAGCAAAAAGGTATTCTTATAGGTTATACCCATATGTAATTGCTCTATTTTTTATCTTTTATTTTTATTTTTGATTGGTAAGTAATTTCTCTATTTACGCAACCTCGTTAACATCAAAAGATTAAGTACAGGAATTGACGAAGCAAATTCAGGAAATATCTTACTAACACCTGGCTTCAAGTCAAACAAATGAACTCATGCTCGTGTTTTGAAAGAGATAGTTTCTTTTATAAGTAATTTTGAGAGATAAAGTATCTACATTACGTCTGGTTCTGCTTTACTTTGTACACCTTTGTTCATGCGAGCGTGTGTGTCTGTGCGAGAGAGAGAGAGAGAGAGAGAGAGAGAGAGAGAGAGAGAGAGAGAGAGAGAGAGAGAGAGAGAAGCAAACTCACATCATCCAGCAGCATACTGTAGCAGTGATGATCAATGTCATGTGTAACCTGCATCACAAAATTCAGTTAGCTACTAGAAACAGAGATCAAAAGACGCTTGAACAAAATTTCATACATCATCTATTGAAGCCTGAAGAGCTCTAGAGTAATTAAGATAAACTGAAGAAAAATAAACAGCGGCCCGACAAAAATCACAATTTGCATTTTGAAGTTCAATTGCATGTGCTTCTTTTGTTATCTGAAATGCCTGAATCATGAAATACACTACGAGTCGATTTAAATTAATTTCTAAAAGAACTATCAAAGTCTTCATGATACAGATTAGTGATTAATAGCTGATAAGTATCAAGTGCTGAGAAACACTTGTAAGTGCTGAAATTGATTTTATAAAGTGCTGAAATTGATAATAAACAATTGGTGTTTGGTAAAAAAGTGCCGATAAAATAGTAAAAAGCTTTGTTAAATCAAAAGTGCTTATAAGCTAAATCCATAAGTTGTTACATGACCAACTTATAGCTTTTGGCTATTTTGGATTATAAGCACTTTTAGCGTTTACCAAACTCGTAGACAAGTTAAAAGTGCTTATAACCAGCTTATAAGCTTACGCAAACACCCTGTAAGATACCACCATCAAAGGATTGCAATTTTGCTATGTATATGCAGAGAGCAGAGTTTTTTATGCCGAATTTATATTTTCTCATACAACAAACCAAACAAGCCTTAAAGGAATTAAAACATGCAATGAAGTTGAAACCAATGCTCCCTCCAATTCAATTTATGTATACTTATTTGACTGGGTACGGAGTTTAAAAAAAATGGAAAACTTTTGAAGCTTATGGTCCGAAACAATCCATAAATGTTTGTGTGGCTATAAATCATCTAATTAAGGATACAATGAGAAGTTTAAAGTTACATTTAAAGATATCATGCTTTCTTAAACTCCATGTCCAACCAAATAGGTTCACATAAATTGAAACAGCAGGAGTACTATATTAGTAATGCAAAGCTGCATCAATGATTCAGAGTTTATACAGAAACTCAAGCATTTTGGTATTAATAAGTCAGAGTTCTATGCAATTTTTTCTTTTTTTTTCATACAACAAACCAAACAAGCCCTAAGGGAATAATGATAAGCAAAATTTGAAGGAAACATAAACATATGGAACAAATTGACCGTACAGATTAGTAGAAGGTCCTCTATTGCAGCAAATTCTGGCACATAAAGATGCAATAACTCCAATCGCAACAAAAATTAGAGTTGTCACCAAAAAACCCATTTTCGTCCGATCCCACACTGAAAACACAAGTCTGTATTCTGCAACGATAATTTCAAGTCAAAATTGGTCGTTCGATGGAAAAAGTTTTAAAAAAAAAAAAAAAAACACTTTCGGAGCTGAAATTAATTTTAATACCTGTAGATATATCGATTTGCGATTGAATTCTACAAAAATGGGGATATTTTGTGATGAATTGCTGTTAATAACAGTTGCTTGATCTAACGATAGATCGATTTGACGCCAACTAGAGTTGAATTGTTGGCCAGGCCAGAGTTGTGTTTGGGCCAGCTGTATGAGCACGTCGGCTTTCTTTGCATTTCAAAGAGGTAGAAATGACAACAGCTAGCCACTAGCCACTCTAAAGAGCTACTATTTAGGAATTAGCCGTTATATCACGAATTTGAGTTTTTTCAGTTTTTTTCGGTTTCATTTTTAAGGACAAAAATGTCTTGGATTGTCGTGGAAGTCAGAATTTTTACTTTAATATTTCAGGACAAATTAAATACTGATTAATTTTTAAATAGGATCCTTAAGAATAACTATCTGTGCAATTGCCCCATTATAGAGCCTTTGATGGACCGGTGGGACCTAATAGAATTAGGGTACTTTACAAAAATAGTCAATCCGATTCATTATTTACCTAGCCGGTATACATAATATGTACGGTTAGGGGTCATTTAGTTATTCTATAAATAAGGATATTAATTTCGTGATAGAATATGAGATTTTATTTCTCCCATATTTGATTGTGGATATTACCTAGTCATAGGATAAATTTTATACTAACCTCGTGTGTGTGTATATATATATNGGGATGTTATTTAGAGATTAGCCAGTACTTATTTTGTCCTGAAATTTTAAACTAATAATATCAACTCATGACTTTATTTTGTCTTGAAAAATTGAAGTGAAAAACTTAAATTCAGGACGCACTAACTAATTCCTAAATAACAGTCCTTTAGAATGACTACATAATATTATTTCTACGTTAAATCTTGAGAAAATTGCCCTATATATCCCCTCAACATTTTAATAGCCCGTATTTTTTTCCGTTGACACGAAAATATCCCTTCAGTCCAAACATATTACATTTAATAGCTCGAAATGTCTATTTTCTATATTTTTTGTATAGTAACAGTCTATTTTATATATTTTTTGTACAGTGACAGTCTATTTTGTATATATATTATATAGTGATGGTTTATTTTGTATATATTTTGTATAGTGATAGTCTGTTATATATAAATTGTATAGTAACAGTCTATTTTGTATATAAATTGTATAGCGACATTCTATTTTGTATATATTTTGTATAGTGACAGTCTATTTTGTATCCCGAGCACTTTTATCTATCCAACGTGTATATAGTGTTGTATGAAGTATAAAAGTATGTGTGTGTGTGTGTGTGTGTGTGTGTATATATATANAACTCTAATTAGTTTTTTTTATTTAAATTTTTTGCTATTTTTTAGTTTCTATTAAACAAGCATAAATTTCTTTATGCTAATTGTAAGCGTTAGTAAATTTAAGGAACTCATTATTCGTAATATGAAAATCTGGGTATATCTCTGACGAATACTTAAGGGTATTTTACACCTTTTAATTTTTATCCATAAAACAGAAGACTGATTCAAAAATGGTCCAACCTGACCTTAAAAAGCAAGACGTGACACTTATTCAAATTAAAGGAATATAAAGACGAAACCTTTAGAAGAAGAAATAAGAGAGAGAGAGAGAGAGAGAGAGAGAGAGAGAGAGAGAGAGAGATTAAAACTTGCTCATTTCACCGTAAGTTGGTATTTTTGGTTTTAGTTATATGAAATTTTTATTTCATTTCTTCAGTTATTAAAAAAGAAGTGATATCGACTTTGAAATAGCTTTCAGTTGTCTACTAAATCCTGCAAATCAAATGACATTAAATAAGAAAATTGATTTATTTTGAAAAATTTAACAATTTATAGTGGAGAAATAATGAAGAGTAGTAGATCAGAATAGATTAAAAACTCTACTTTGCAACTTGAAGAGTTGATCAAATGGGTCAGCGCATTTTTTTGTGTGTAGCCAATGTAATAAATTTTTGGCTATAACTTACAATCAAATTTAATAGGCTAGCGATTGTCTTAATTTAGTGCCGAACGGTCGTAAATGGAGTTTGCTCTTAAATCTTCATAGAATGACAACAATTAAAGCCCAACAATTCCATGTTGGACAGGTCATTTAACACTTGAACTTCCCATTGGAGTTTCTAGCCCAAAAACCTTTTAGTTCAATTTTTTTCTCTTCACCAAATAAAATAAAATAAAAGATTGGTGTATGTTGGGTATATAAGTAATGAGAAGTGGAAACCCTAAAGACAGATCCTCCTCAGACAGAATTGGCCGCGAATTGTGATACCTCTTTGAGATACCATGAAATATGTCACGGAAAGTGCTGTCTGTTTTTTCTAAATATAGTATAGAGAGGATCTAACAGTAAAAACCCAGGCATCTCAGAAAGCCATTGTTTTGCTTTTCAATCAGCTTTTGGCTCGCTATGGTGCCTACATATATACACACACACACACTATCTCTATCTTCTTTTCTCTTATTGTTTTTTAAGTTTATTTCATTTGGTTGATGAAGATTTGTTTGGTTAAATGCTTATTAAAGGGAATCTGGTGCTCAAGCTGGCTTTTGTTTGAGTTTGCGAAACAAAATTGAATGTTTATTTTCCTTTTTTGCATTAATTTCTATTAAGATTTGCAAACTCGGCTGAGAATTATTTTTTTAAGCCGATAATTTATCGAAAACAACTGCTTACTTCCGCAAAATAGGGTAGGGGAGAAAGGTTACTCTTCTCGTATCCCATACTATGAAAATATATTGGGTATTTATATGTAATATTAATGTATTGTTGTTGTAAGATTTGCAAACTCAAAACAATTTGTAAAATTTTAAACAAATTCCGCAAATGGTTGATAGGATAATTGTTTGGGAATTCTAACCCCTGTTTTAGATTGTCGTTTCCCGCGATTTATTATTGTATTGTTTTTATTGATATTATGTTTGTTTCTACTGTTCATAAAGTTATATTGTATGGTGTTGTAAATTCGAAATTAAACTATAATAAATAATACAATTTATCTAAATATTATATTATTAATACGATATAATATAATAGGATATTATATAATACTATATTGTACCATTCAAACAGGCCATAAAGTGTTTATCATGAGAAATTATATTCTTGCTAAGTTCTAGTATTTGATTAAGCATGAAAAAAAGTGATATGATATAGGGAATGATAATCTTTGCGAAAATATTTAACACAAGAACAAAAAGAAATAATCAGTAGAAGCAAGTTATACATTCAGGGATATTTTGTTCGTGTATTCATTCCTTTTATTTCTGATAAATTTTAGTAACCAAACTTGAAAATAATCTAATTAAAGAAAATGTTTTTGGGAAAATATTTTACTAGACTTAAACATGATTAAAAGTGATTTGGGAATTAATTTTTGCACTCGTAAGTTTTATTTCTACTTTATTAAATTCTACTCCATAGTTTAATCCATGGCTCGACTTCATTGAACAAAGGTTATGGAAATATCTCATTTTACAAATGAGACGGATGCTTTATATAAATTGAGTTTAATCTATGTGCACTTATAATTGCTTATAACAAATCTGATGGAGTCACCTAAAACTAGAGTAAATAATGTTAGATAACATGTTAAAATAAATTGATAGTGCAAAAAATTATTTATGTTTAACGTATATAATTTAAATTCTTATAAATTTGTTGACCATCCATTAGTTTTATTACCTAATGGAAAAAATAAAGTTGCGACTGAGAAGAAAATAAATTGTTATGTTAGTGGAAGAATCAGAAAAAATAAAAAATAGAGTTAAAAACAGAGTATAGATTGGCATTGTTCAATGTCACATTTGATCTTTTTCTTGTAAAAAGGGTCCATGTATTAGATCTTTTTACATTTATTTAACAAGGCCGATTTAGTCTATTTCCCTAAGACGATAAAGATAGATTTGATCTCAACTATTAATGAATACAACAACAACAATTCAGTAAAATCTCACAAGTAAGGTTTGAGAGGTTGTTTTTGATAGACTTTCGGTTCAAGAAGGCGAAAAAAGATAATATATTAGTATCAGTAACAGAAACTATAAAAATAATATTAGCATCGTAAGAACCAAAATATAGATGGAAAAATAATAACAATAACTAGTAAATAAGATTCGATACTATGAAAAACGAAAGAATCAACTACTAATGAATGACAAATCTAAACCTTTATACGAAGTTCAGGGACAAATTTGGTTTTTCCAAAAGAAAAAAAAAAGTTTCTTTTACTAATTTTAACAATATCTATACAATCTAATTCCCACAAGCCCAATCCCATAATAACACTCGAGGACAATCAATTTTCTCCACCCTCACAAAAGAGAAAAAAATATAAACTGACAGAATTTAAATGAAAAACAAGATGAAATTACAAATAAAAATATTAAAGTCAAGCACAATGGTTATTATTCACATCTACAGGTCCACCAGCTTGGGCAGCCATAGCAAGTTCAAATTGTTTAATGGAAATTGAAGGAAAAGAAATTAATTCAGGAGTTTTCAAATTTTCCCATCCTTTGATAGGGTTAATTGTTGTTGATCCATCCCATCCTATGTGTGTTACATGCTTCACATCAGTTGGATACCCTATTTCTATCTCCATTTCCACTTCTTCCTCTTCCTCTTTGTGCACTACAAAAGAAAAAAGAAGCAAATTATAAGGATAAAAAAATTAAAATGAATACATTGGGCCGCGAATCAGAAACAATCTCTCTGCTCTTCCAGAATAGGAGTAAGGTTGCGTACATCTTACCTTCTACAGAACCCATTTGTGAAAAATTAATGGATTTGTTGTTGCTGTTGTACATTGGGCTGCGAATTTTCTTATCGGTAAAATTTGTTAAGGGTCGTTTGGTAGGAGATATTAGAAAAAACAATGCAAGCATTAGCTTTGTGCATTAATAATTCCTTGTCTGGTATATTTTTTCAACCAATGTATTACTAATACTTATATTAGTTATAAATTCAATTTGGTAATATCCTATGTATAACTAATACATAGCAAACCATGGTATTAATTAACAATATAAAGGTTTTTAATACTTGCATAAATATGGTTAAAGACATAATTGCTCCTCAAATCCATCGAAATCTATTCTCAAATAATTTTTGCCATATTTTATAGAAATGGTGTTGCTCTCTCTTCTCTTTGTATGTTTTATTCATGGAAAAAACAGTGTATAAAGTTAAAGACTATGGAGGGTATTTTTATATATAACCATTCCTTTTAGAAATTATGCAATGCTTTAATACATCAAACCAAATAGTGAATAAGAAATAATCTCAGCATAACTAATGTCAGCGTAACTAATCCCGACATTACTAATATCAGCATTATTAATACACCAAATTCAACACTATTCTTATATCTTCTGCCAAACGATTAGTGTTTTAATATAGTTTAAGACAATCTTAACTAAGAAAAAGACAATGTATATTGCTCTGCATGTTTTTTATTATGCTTTTGTATGAATGTGGGAGGAAAGGTAAAAGAGAATTACTGGATGAGATTGAAATCTTACAAATATAAAGTATGGGCAATGGTTATTTACCAAATAATTGGGAGAAACCTTTGAAATGCCTTTTCAATCTTCGAATATTTTGTGAAAATGTTGGTCTTGTCATGGCCAAAAATCCCCAAAAGCTCTTCATTTTTACACTTGATGAGCTCTCTTCTCCTTCTAGTCTTTCTTGAATAAGTCACACCCAAAGTAACAGTGTCAAACAGAGAAAAGAATAACAAAACAGAGGCACAACAAAAGCAATTGCAAATATTGTATCTGACGAGGAAAAACGTATTTGTATTTGGTGTTTACACCAACCCAGTGAATATATGACATATGCCTTAAAACCTCTTGTCACTAGATCATAGTTAAGGTAATACGCATTTCATCTTAATTTATGACTTAATCATGATAAATTAGTATGATTTAATATAACATCAGGTTCAAATGAGTTTTATCCGTTCAATATAAGTGGATTTAAACGAAAACTATCTATTCATCAAAAGCCTACCGCAAATGAAGTAAATATAGTATGAGCTAGCCAGTTTTCCGATTGATAATTAAAATATAGTGCAAAGTTATTGAACAATAGCCACTATTTTATGCGGAGATAAAATCTGGACAAAAATAACTTAGCAGAAACATGAGAAGTTCCAGCATAATATACTATAAACTTCCAGTATATTATGTTGGAACTCAAGAACATTATGAAATTGTAGCATATTATGTTGGAATATCATATGTAAAAAATTCGACCTCCAACATATTATATTGGAATTTTTCCAGATTTTTAAGGAAGTTTTTGTTCGAATTTTATTTTTACTTGAAAAAATGGCTAAATTTCGATTACTTTTGAAACTGCGGCTAATTTTCAATTAGTATCAAGTTATTTCTGATTTTTACCCGTAAGTGAACCAATAAACTGACAAAACCATGCCTTTTGGTTTGAAAGGTTTTACTATAGGATTAACCTTTTAATAATACTGAAACTTAATATAAGTATTATTAAGTTTATATGAACCCAATATTTTCGACACGAAATATAAAAATATACACGAGACATAAGGGGGAGAGAGACATACTTGTTTTCTCAGCTGGATTAGTCTTTGTTTTCTCAGATTGGCTGCTGCTACTGCTCACTGCAACACTTGATTCAGAACCACACACTACAGAAAATGGCAACATAAAAAACTTCTCTATAGATTTTTCCTTCATGTTTCTTCCACTTAGCATATGAAATCAACAGTGAATTATAGCATATAAATCACAAAAATGGGAAGAGATATAAAGAGAGGGAGTTATATTAATGAGATTAATGTGTTAGCAATTAGCTTTATGAAGAAGTTAAAATGATTTAAGTTATAGAAATGTAAGACACACCAAATATTAAAGCAGGTTGGTTTGGTGGCATTAGAGAAAAGCAAAAAGAATATATGAAAATGATGGAGTGGGTTAGAAACTTAAAAGAGTTGATATATATAAGTTGGTTAACTGTGCAACTCATGCTCAATGTTGGCTGATTACTTGTCCATTTTAAGAAATAAACTGAGCCCACAGACCAACTCCTCCACCCCCTAGAAGTTTTGTGTGGGTAAGTGAGTGGTATCCTGAGGCGGAATCGAATTTTTATTAAGGGGAGTCAAAATATAAAGAAATAAATATACGAATAAGTCAAAAAGATTCAATATATAGTGTATATATATTAACTTTTGTTTTTTCCTATCTATACTATGTAATTTTCCGGCAAAGAAATATCAAATTGACAACCTTTTGGCAAAGATGGCTCTGCCACTAATGGTATATTTGCCACATGAAAACATTCATATAGCAAAAGTTTTAGTACTAATATATATATCGGTAGAATTAAACTTATAGATGTTGATGGCATTATAAATAATTTTCAAACTATCAATGTAATTTAATTTATTGTAACATGTAGGCTGCCTTACTAATCCTACTTATTATAGACGATTATCTACAATTCTTTTTTAAGTAACTTAATAGTGTAATTTTTCTAATTCTATTATTAACGAATAAAAGTTAAACTCATTTCGATATTTCTTTTAAATTACTTTAACTAGCTCGGTCTCCCTAGTTTCATCTTCAACTTTTCTAACGCAAACTAGACTTTGGTCATAGGCTCATAGCCTTATACTGCTTTGGTTTTGAATATATTATCTAATTTGACCATAATTTTTAAAATCTATTTAGTTATCTGCAACTAAAACTTAATTATTTGACTCTATTTTTGTCTTTTGTGTAATAAGTTTTTCTTTTACTATTATTCTTCAAATTAAGTCTTAAATTTTATAGATAACTATCATCCCAAAAATTGGCCAACCTTGACCATTAAAGCAAACTTAGACATTAAAACAAGATGAAAAGGTAATTAATATACTTACTTGATTGCTCTAACATTATAGAATTTATTTACAATTTTTTTATATTTCAAAAGGACTTTAGATAGTTGCACTATTTCAAAAATATATATTTCTGTCGAGAACCAAAATAGTTATCTTAAACCATCAAAGTTTGCGGTATGTGATGGAGTGATAGGTACACTTGTCAATTCTTAACAAGAGGTTTTGTGTTAAAGTCTTATAATGGAATCGCCTTTGGTCGGATAAATTGTATGCTAAAAAATTGGACTTTTGTATGTGAATTCGAATTAGTCTGATCTAAAATAGATACCAAACGCGGAAGGAAAAAAAGATTATCTTAAGCTATTGAGAATTTATTGAGTTTGGTTTAAGTGGGGCATATCAAGTCATCCTTAAAGATACTTCTACAATCTCTCTTTTTAGTTTAGTAATCCTAAATGAACCTACTCATTCCCAACTCTTCCAATCACATTGAATGGGAAAGAGTGAATCCAAAGGGATTTTAATCATTTTATATATAATATCATTCAAAATAGACACGAGTATTTCTTCATTTTCACAAAAAGTAAAGAAAGTCAAAGAGTTTGGTGTACTTTGATACTTATTGAACACCAGAAGTGGAATGAAGTGTTCTTTAATTTTCCCTCTTTTTCACTTCCTTCTAAATTTGGTTGCTCCTTTTAGGTAGGCTTTTTCTAACTAAACTAATTGTCATTTGCACCATATTTATTTCTTGTTTAATCATTCAATATTTAAAGCTTATTATTTCGATTAATTTGAATTTGCACGGAATAAACCCATTAATTAAATGAGGTAAATTGCTCCTTATTCAAAGGATCTTCATTTTGGGAGCTTGACCGTGAAATCTTTGGTACGATATAGTTTCGACTTTGATCGGAGGCGGACCTATGTATTGAGTAGAGAGGTCACCAGACCTCGTTAACTTCGATAAAAAAATTCGATATATCATATATGTTGAAAAAGGTCATATATTTTGCTTGAAACTCTAACACCAAAAGTTTCAATGGGGGCACTGGTTGACCAATCCGATCATGTACCCTCGCCACCTTTAAATCCTAGATCTACCTCTAAATTTAATAATTGATTTGAGTACTTTTTGATAAAAATATTCAATGTTAAATTGCTTTGAGTACTATATATGAGGCTGATTACTCTCTTTAATACAGTTTTATGCTTAAAAAATATAAAAAATAAAATAACCTTAAAACCAATGTGAACTTATTTAATTAGCACTAAACATTAGGATTACATATTATTATGACAATTCATCATATTCAATAGACAACGAATTATAAAGTCTGTATTATAAAGGTAAATTCAAAATTTGAAGTTAATGAGTTCATAATAGATGCGATCTTATTGTTTACCCGAAAAACGGATTGAGTTAAATTTGTACGTAGTTCTAAGGGTATGTGATATAACTCGATACAAATCGTAAGAGTAAATAAGAATATCGAATATTGACTGTAAGGATGAAAAATAAGTAAAGTTGAAAAGAGCATGATTTATGGATTAAACAAGATGGATCAATCTTATGAAGCTAAAAAATGATAATTCTTCAATATGGGAGTGTATGATCTCTGAGTTACAATGTATGCAAAACTTGATGCTTTACAGAAATATAACCATCCCTCTTATAGTGGAGGGATCCTACTTTAGTTATAATTAAAAATACATAGTGAGTAACCCATGATAAATCAGTTTTTCCTTAATTCCCGCTGAGATTCTTTCCCTTAGTGCGGTTGTAACAGCTCTTGTCTACGAGCTAGATCCTGACCAGACTTGGTATCTGTCAGTTTTCAGGTTTAGAGCTCGATGTGGGTTCGAGCTTGATGTTGACTCGGGGCCCAGTATTAGGCCAGTATTGGTTGGCCTTTGGCCCTTAAGCTCGATTTCACCGTTTCTCATCATAGTTCGATTTGGACCCAAGCTCGATAATGACTTCGAGCTCGGTATTTGATATGTCCCTGAAACTCGAAGCTCGTTTGTGCCCTCTTCGGATCCTATCTCGATATTATGAAGACAATCTTCGATCCATTATGTTCCCATCTCGATCAGTCATACGAAGGCCGAAATCAGTTTCGACCGTATACAGATAGTCCCCTCGTTTCTCGAGAAGGATGTGGCAAGAAATGATATGATTCCCCAACGGCCCGATTGGATGTACACTGACGTTTGCATCGAGCCCGTCCATGACGTATGTGATAGCTGTCTCGTCGGCTTAGTTTACCAAGGCATTTAATGAGTGTCAGACGGTGGTCGGCTACCGCTGATATTGAACCGTCATTGCTCAATCTATAAATAGCCCCGCCTTTTACCATTTATCACTTTTACATCTTCAATCTCCAAATTTTTCAAGTTCTTTTCGCATCTTCTGAGTTCATCTGTGATTTTTCTGCAAATATCTTTCTTCTGTGATTTTCACTGCAAAATCTTTCTTCAAAACACCACCTTTGTCATCTCCTTCTGTTTTCCATCTCTAAATCAAAAATAGCGAGAACATCTAAAACCGTTCCTCAAAAAGAAAAAGTTTCTTCTTCACAGCTTGCCGTCGATAAAACACCGGTGGAGCCACGGCCTGAGGAGTGTGTTCCTGGGGCGTGTGTTCTTACCTCTGATTTTAAGGTCGATAAAGGCTCATCGGTTCCCGGCCGATACGAGCCAGTATCGAGGTATATGTGTTCGATAACCAAAGGGCATCTCGAACAGATAAGGAGATATTGCAATTGGGAGAACAAAGAAGTGGTAATCCTATCTCCCGAAGAAGATATTACTACTCATGTGAAAGGGGTTTTAGGTGTGTATACTTAGCATTTCACGTTAGGTCCTCTCGACCCTGTTATCATTGACTTTTGCCGTCAATACCAAATAACCCTAGGCCAAATCCATCCTTCTTCTTGGCGGATCGTTATTTTGATCCGTTTCTTTGTGAACAAAATTGAGGGGTTGTCTTTCACCCTCGACCACCTTATTCGATTGTACAGCCCCCGCCTCTTTCGAGGTGGGTTAATAAAACTTCAGCGCCGGACCACCAAGGTTCTATTCTAGAGTATAGACGAGGACAAGGATCAAGACTGGATGGGTAGGTTTGTTCGAGTGAAGACTTCAGACCTAATACCGGCCGAGAAGATGCCATTTCCCGAGGAGTGGAACATGAAGCGTAAGTGTAACTCTGATGTTATCTCATATTGTTTTGTTCTTTCGTTTCTTTCTCATTGATATCCCATTTTGTGATGCAATGGTTTCTTGGATGCCCGGTGCAGTTCCTGACCTCAAGAACTAGGTACGGGACCTGGCTTCGACCTCCTCATACGCCGAGCGCTCATGGCGTGATTTGTCAAAGGGCCGATAGGAGGCCAAAAATCACGGTAAGCTTCTTCCTTGTGTCTTTGATAGTTCAAACAAAGCATTTTCCATATACTTAATCAATTTTCTTGTGTGTAGGCCTGGGCAAAGATGCGGCTTTGAGGCCCCCGTCTGGCGAGGAAGAGGCTTCGGCCTTTATTCCAAAACTGGTGAAGGATAATAAGAGAAAAAGGGTTTGTACTTCCGAAGATCCAAAACCAAAGACGAGGACGGCTCATAAGCCAAGGAAGAATATCATCCCTTTGACCAAAGAATCAGTTCATCGTCTAAGGGATAAAGACGAGGAAGAAGAATACGACGGGTCCGTACTGGTGGCCCGAGTGAAGAAAACCATTGATGCCTCAAAGATAGCTGGATCGATGGTGGTTGGTGTGTCTTCGCCTAGAACTGAGGTGGTATCGGAGAAAGATTCGGGCCGAGTCCACGAATCGTTAGAGATCGAGGATGCTTCCCACCGAAGTCGACAATCGGTGGATATATCTGAAGGGACCGGTCCTGAAGTTTTCCGAACTGAGGAGGACGCCCCAAGCGAGTCGCTTGGGGAAATAGCAATCGAAGACTCGCCCACTCTCCCTGCTTTTTTCCGAAGGGGGGATTCGGGAAGCCCAAGCTTTGGGGGCCC